TATACATAATATGTCATATATTTGTTTTTTTTCTTATTGTATTTCTCCTCTCCTTTCCCCATGCCACTCTCAGTTTCTATCGTAGTACCCTTGATTTTGCATTGTGTGCCTTGATATTAACTCTCCTTTCCCCACCTCCGCTTCTTTTTTTGTGCTGGTGGGAGGCCTTGACGCTCCGCCCCACATGCAGATATACACGCACACTCACACACTCACACACACACACACACACACACACACACACACACACACACGCACGCACACGCACGCACATGCACACACACACACACACCACAGGTGGAGGAGCTGCAGGGCCGGGTTGCGCAACAGGAGCACGAGAAGCGCAAGCTGAAATCGCGCGTGGACGAAATGGAGGATTTGGTGGACAGGTTCAGACACGCGTTGCCACCAGACATGTTTGCCGCCATTGTACAGCAGAGTAGAGGCGGTGGCGGTGGCGGTGTCATGCAGTGCTGAAGCTGTGGGTGTGTGGAGCTGAGGTTGGGGTGGAGGTGGGGAAAGCGACGATGGTAGCCGTTGTGTGTTGACACTCTTTGAGCTGTTTCTTCCGACAAGCACGTTTGCTTGAGTTGGTGGGGTCATAGGTGTGTTTTTGTGGCCGTGGTTAATGTACATAAAGCGCATGCATACACACGGAAGGCGTCACAGCATATGGTGATGTTGCAGTGAATCGGTTGCGTGAGCAACTTGCTTGGAGCTTTCGAGGTGAGGTGCTGGGTTAGGCATGTTGAAGACCTGCCTGTTTGTGCAGCCGCATCGTACAAGCACGTTTGTTCCATCCTCTTCTGCGTGTGCGGGGCTTGTTGGGTGCAGCAGAGGAGACAGGGGTAGCACACGCGTGGCCATGCACTGCATACATCAGCCAGTTGCTTGGTGCACACAATGAAAACGACGACACAAACAAACTCCACAGGAGCACGACCACGATTGCACGACAGGCACGATAGCAGCCCGATGTATCTGCATTTGCGTTCTGCACTGGGATACTCAGTTGCATTTGAGTATTCACATAACGTCTGACGTGTACTTGGGGCAAACGGCCAAACAGAACAAGACGCGAGGTGTGAACCCCGCTAGACATCTAGACATGCACGAAGCGAGACAAGGCGTGCCAAGGAAAACACGCAACCACACGGGGCAACGAAAAGAGAACAACCGACAAGAAAGCACTGCGTGCAGGCAAACACGCAGAACGACATGGAAGGCAAGAAGCAAACACAAAACAAGCCACCCACACTCAAAACAACTTGCAGCAACCCACCCTCACAACACCCATTCTCATCCTCACCCACTCTTCTTCACTCGTTCAGGCAGTTGTTGATGGCCCTGCACCATTCGGCAAGCGTGGTGTCAGAGCGGTCGTCCGAGCGAAAGATGAATGTTCGCCCAGGAACGGCAACGTGCAGCTCACTGTTGTCTTGGGCGAGCTCAGCTGACAGTACATCCAACAGGGAGATGCGTCGCTTTGGCGGTCGTGCTGCGGACTTGCTGTACGCGAAGTGGCTGTCGTCAAGCTTGCACCAGCATGGGCGGAAGGCGGCCCTCCGTCGCCCACGTTTCTGCAACCACCCGACAAGCGGCTGCTGTGAAGAGCACCCCTGTCGCTCGTCTGCTTCGTCTGCTTCGTCTTGTTGACCAGCCAAAGCTTGCACTTGATCACTGCCGGTGTCTTGTTGCTGAACGCCATTGTCGTGCTCGCTGTCGCCACCGTCACTATCGCCGCGAATGCGCCGCAGATTGCGCGCCACCTTGCGTGTGTTGGGGTAAGCTGAGTCAACTGCGGCCGTGCCACTGTCGACTCGCTCCTTATTGCTGCGTTTTTCGTGCAGCAGGCCGATGTTCCCACGCGTCATCGTTGTGCTCGGATGTTTCTCGCCCAGCACCTCCAGCTTGATGGCGAGGGCTTTCTCGTAACAATCAATCGCCATGTCGTGCTCACCCTTGTCGGCGTATGCGTTTCCCATATTATTGTACGAGTCTGCAGTGCTCGGGTGTTTCTCGCCCAACAAGGCCACCTTGATGTCGAGGCTCTTCTCGTGATACGCAATCGCGGTGTCGTACTTACCCTGGTTGCGGTACGCTTCGGCCACGTTGTTGTAGGTCTGAGCTGTGCTCGGATGCTTCTCACCCAGCATATCCACCTTGATGGCGAGGGCCCTCTCATACCAGCCAATCGCCCTATCGCACTCACCAATGCCGGCGTGTGCATTCCCCATGTTGTTGTACGAGTCGGCGATGCTCGGATGCTTCTCGCCCAGCACCTCAACTCCGATTTCGAGGGCCTTCGTGTAGTATGCAATCGCTCTGTCGTACTCCCCCTTGTCGGCGTATGCGAGCCCGATGTTGTTGTACGAATCAGCTGTGTGTGGGTGGCGTTCGCCCAGAATCTCCATTCGGATGGCGAGCGCCTTCTCATAGGACGCAATCGCCCTGTCGTACTCGCCTTTGCTCTTGAACACAACCCCCAAATTATTGTGCACGTCTGCTGTCTTCGTGTGCTGCTGTCCCAGCACTTCAACTCTGATTTCAAGGCTCTTCTCGTAGCAATCAACGGCCAGGTCATACTGGCGTTTGTCGGCGTACGCGTTTCCCATGCTACTGTATGTGTCTGCTGTGCGCGGGTGCTTCTCGCCCAGCGCCTCCACGAACACCTCATTGGCCATCTTAGAGTATTCAATCGCCGTGTCGTAGTCGCCCTTGCTGTAATAGGCGCCGCCCAAGCTGCCGTAGCACGCAGCTGTGTTTGGGTGTGTCTTCCCCAACGTCTCCACAGTAATGGCGAGGTCTTTCTTGTAGTAGGCAATCGCCCTGTCGTACTCGCCTTTGCAGTAGTATCCACTGCCAAGGTTGTTGTAGGTGTCAGCTGTGCTCGGGTGCGTCTCTCCCAGCATCTCCACGTTGATGGCAAGGGCCTGCTCGTGGTGCTGAACCGCCTTGTCGAGCTTGCCTTTGCTGTTATAGGCGACACCGAGGTTGTTGTGCACCGCAGCCACATTCAACCCCTTCACTCCTTCAGTGTGAAGCCAAATTGCCAGGGCTCTCTGGTAGTACGCAATTGCCCGGTCGTGCTCACTGAACTCGTTCAGCACAATGCCAACATGGTTGCACAATCCCGCAAACACCTCGGTCTTGTCTTCTCCACGTGCCTGCATGGCCTCCACCGCAGCCACCATCTTGCTCAGGCACCAGGCGCGCAGCTGGTCCTTGACGGCCTGGTTGAGAGCACCAAAGCCCACGCCGTTCTGAATGGCCTCGAAGATCATGTCCTTGTCGCGTGGGTTGAATGCTTCGGCGCGCTGTGCTTGTACGAGCACCAGCGTATCCATCACCGACTTGGAGCTTTCACGGATGGCGGCCTCCAGCTCTGACTCCTCGCTCTTGGGTAAGCGGATGCTGACCTCCGTGCCCTCGTTGCTGACGCCGCAGAAGATCTCCCACAGGCACCACGCCCGGGTCAGTGGCACGGGGTCCCGCCACGGCATCAACACCAGCAGCACGCGTCCAATGTTGGCAATCGACTCCTTGAACGTCGTGCTCCACCTGTTGTGTTGGGGGAAGGGAGAGGAGGGGCGTGATGTGAGGGAGTGGGAGTGTGCAAGAAACGGGGAGGTATAGCACGCAGGCGCACACAAGGCACACACACGCACACACACACACACACATAGACGCACACACACACACACACACACACACACACACACACACACACACACACACACACACACACACACACATAGACGCACCACTCTTGTGGGAGGTTGGCGGTAATGTTGGCGTTTTGGTTGTTCATGAAGAGGTCAAACCAGAAGAAGACTGGCTTGCTGTCTTCCTTCCTTACTCTTTGTTCCTCCGCAAACTCAAGCAAGACGTTGAGCACGTCCGCGATCTTGTATCGCCACGCGTGCGACACAAACACGGTGGCCTTGCCCACATGTTCATGTGGTGACTGCTTGCGCAGCTGCTCGACGTAGGCGCAGTTGTCCTGCTGTGTGCGTGGCACCACGAGCTGCTTGCAGGCATCCTCCGTGGTCATCTCAGTGTACGTGTCGGGGAACTCCTTCTTCAGGTCTGCGAGGAAGGCCTTGATCGCCCCCACAGACACGCCGTCCGTCAGGCGGTGCTCACTGGTGTCAGCCATGGTTCTGTTCTTTTGACGAGAGTCACGCTTAGACGCTTGAGGGGCTTGAGTGGATGGGGAACTGAAGAGTGTTTTGCCTTCTGGCCGAAAACCTGGAAGCTCACTTTTGCGGCCGCGCTTGATTTGAACGCGCTGTCTGTAGCGCCTTAGCGCGCTGTGCTTGTGCTTGTAGGCTTGTGGAGGTGTGCTTTGCTCTTTTCTTCTTTTGCTGGGCTTCTCAGCTTGAACTTGACATCATGGCTTTGCAGCTGCAGCTGATGAGGGGAAGGGGGGAGCCAAGATGCCTGCGCTCGCCATGCAGCCAGGCAGCAAGTGCAAGAGGACTCCAAGACCCAGAAGACCTCTCTCTGTCACATCAAAGTCAACTTGGCTAACTTGGCTACCTACGCTTCGAGGGGAATCAATAGCTTTCTCTCTTTCTTGTTCGATTGCTGCTCGAGCGAGCACCTTAGCCACTCCATATCAGAGAGCAAGAAGAGAAGAGCACACGTGTCCCGTCTTTCCTTGCAGATCTGCACGAGCAGAGAACAGGAGAGCCAAGAACTACACCAACGAACACTTCTCTCGTCTCTCGTGTGATGCCATCTTACTTCTAAGCATCTTGCGAAAAGTTGCACCTTCAAACAAACACAAACACAAAACCGCACAGTCATCACAACGGCAAGTAAGCGAAAACAAACAAACACAAGAACACAAACCATTGTCACTTTCCCAACAGCACCACGAGCAATCCAGAAGCACACATCTCTCACAGCGTCCTGCCAACTTCCCTTCCTGCCTTCCCTTCCTGCTGTACCACCACCACTCAAGGTGCTGGTTGTGGTTGCTGTCTGAAGGACAGAGCGCGTGCACTTTCCCTTATTTCATTTCACATCAACGTGCCCCAACGCAGCAAGAAGAACACCTCAGCCACAAAGCCAAGTGAACTACAGGCGGATTGCTGCTTTTCATCATCAAGAGTCTCAGACTCCATCTGCTTGCTCATCTCATCTCTGCAACCAGCAGTGTCTACCACAGGTCCACCAAACGGAAGAGAACAAGCCTACATTCAGCGTTTTCACCTTCCTTGTCCCTTCTTGACTTGATCCAGGATCCTCCGCCAAACTATCGCGCACGAAGGATGGAACCTCCAGGACCTTCCACTCCCTCAGCTTCCACCCGCACACGGTCACCACCTGCGATTTCCGTGTTTGAGTGGGCCACGATCGCGCAGCACCTGTTGGAAACCCAAAGCCAACCCGCAAGCCCAGGCGAGGAGCTCGACGACATGCCAAACCGCCGCCACCGGCACCGCCGCCACCGCCGCAGCAATGCGCGAGCCCTGTTCAACCTGATGCTCACCTGCCGCAACCTGTACAATGAGCTGCCATGGGCAATGCCCAAGTGGCACCTGGCCAACCTCGGCCTGCTCGTGGGGTGTTCGGAGCACTGGACGTGATGTGTGGCAGTGACTTCTGCTCTTCTGCGTTGTCGTTCGCTTTCGGAATTTGGCGCTGTGTGTGATGTGTGACGTCACATGTCATGTCTTGCGTTCTGGCATCACAGTCACGCACAACACACCAGCACCAACAGCAACACAACACAGAGGTTCGCCACCCCCAATGCCACCCTCAATCGAGCAGTGCACGGCGGTTCACCCACACCCGCACAATCATCCGCCACTGCCTTTTGCTGTCTCCGCAAAGCACCTTGGCCTTGTTCCTCCTTTTCTCTCTCTTGCTTGGTTCGGAATTCGGCTGCTCCTGTCTCGAACAGCACCACCATCATCACCACTACCACATCACCACCATCAATGACTGTTCCCCACGTTCTCCGCAGCAGACCTCAGGACCTTGTTCGACACCACCACATCCGCACCACCCGCTCACCACAACAGCGACTGGCAGACCTTACCATCGATGTCAAGATGGGTGATCATGCCTGATCCACGGGATGGCCATTTCCCCCAAGCAGCGTCCCCACCTTGCCGAGAATTCGATTGTGAGGTTGTGCAACGTCCCAAGTTCCCCCCTCCCAGCCCCTTAGCTCAACCAAGCAGCCACCAGCACCACCGCCGTCACCACCAAAAGCAACCGCCAGCGTTAGCCCCCTTGCCCTCACTAACCTCAAAGCCGCCACCACCCAGTGACCAGCGCAAGCACCCAACGCAAGCATGGATCAGCAGCTGCAGCGGCAACACAAGGAGAGGAAGAAGCCTCGTGACCGGCGCAGCATCCTGCGCAAGACGTGCGCAGTGCTCGAGAGCTTGAGGCTCGGCTCCAACATGGAGAATGAGCTTTGGGCGCTTGAGACCCTGGCAAGCATGCGGTTTGACGGCACGGAGCCGCAGTATGAGGTGGGCGCCATCCGCTTGCTGTCGAGCGTGCTGAACGCCGTTGTGCGGTATCGGCACAAGTCGTTCATGGTTACCGCGGGCCTGCGCGTCATCGCGGCGGTGATACAGCACCCCGTGTTCTTCGAGCGGGCGGGCCAGACGGAGCTCCTGCGGACGCTTCGCACGCTTGAGGGCACCCTGGTGGAGGGACTCGACACCCAACCTGAGGTGCAAGCCTGCCTGTGCACGATGCTGTGTGCGGCGCAGTGCCTGTTCTGCGACGGCTACAGCAACAAGATCATCCGCGACCTAGCCTTTAAGGCTCTGCAGAATGTGCCTGACAACACTGAGGTTCGCGACCCAGCGGTGCGTGCCATCTCCATGTGCGTGCGCCAAAGCAAGGTGCCCCTGGACGAGGACGACGTGTTGATTTTGGTCCAGCACCTGATCGACTGCGGCAGACAGGACCAGGCCGTTGTGTATGACACCCTGCACATCCTCCACGTGCAGATGGAGCTTGGGGTCCACCACGACCTGCTGGCGAACCGAGCCGTCTGGGTCGTGATGAATAAGATGGACGTTGGTTCGCCCTTCAATGCGAGCATGTACCTTGGGATGTCGCTCATGCGCCTGGCGTGCAAGACCAAGAGCGACCACACGCGCGCAGAGCTTGCGCGCTATGCGCTGGTTGCCATTGACAACTTCTTCAACGGCGATGGTCGCGGCCTGGACGAGCACGTGCAGATGCTGGCATGCGATGTGCTGCGCCAGCTGTTCAAGCACAGCGGCTGGTTGCCTCGTCGCCCGCTGGCGGTCATTGCACGCGTCGTCACCTTCATGAGGCGAAATTTGGACAGGCCAGACATTGCCAGCATCGGGTGGCGCACGCTCGCGGCTTTTGCGCGATCCGGCGGTCACTTGCCGCGCATGCTCGTGGGCTATCATTTTCACAAGACTGCGCTGCAGGTTCTCGACAACATCAACAGCTCTGGTGGCACCATCGTCATCGGGGAGATCCTGGACCCTGAAGAGGCCGACACTGGCGATGGTGATGGTGATGGTGTGGTGGTGGACGGGGACGCAAGTGCTGGGGACCATGGGGACAATGGGGCCGAAGGTGCCGGAAGTGCCACCAAGAGCGGCAAGGCATCCGCAAAGGAGAGCGGTGATGCTGATGACGCCCTTGCCAACGACAGTGATGATCAGGCCGAAGCTGACAATGGCACTGGCGAGCAAGCACAGGGAGGAGACGTTCCCACCGACGAGCGCGACGCTGATGTGGCAATTGAGGGGGAGAAGGCTGAAGTGGAAGAAACGGAAGACCAGGAAGCGGAGCCAGAGCAGCAGCAACAGCAGCAGCAACAGCAACCATCACAGCAGCCGCAGGATGAAGAAGAAGAGGAGGTGCCCCTGACGGCCATTGGTCGCCAGGTGTCACGCATGGGCCCGCACGACTCCCTGGTGAGCCTTCATGAGGGAGAAAGGACGCAAGAGGCTGGCGTGGCAGACATGCAGAGCAGCACGTACGAGGGCGGCATCGTGGACCTGAGCGTGATCAGGGTCGTCGACAACCAGTTTGCTAGCCGCGAGGCCATGTTCAATGAGGACCAGTTTGTGCTGGTGCTGCAAACGCCAAGCAACTTGGGCGCCGAGGCGTGTGAGCTCCTCACAGCCCTCAGCGTGGACAGTGAATGCTGCAACTATCTCTTCACGTGCTCTGCCCAGCACCTCCTCCTCGCCCTGCTGGAGAAGACACCATGCACGCAGGACACGTACCCGTTCCTCAGCAACGCCCTCAAGATGTTGTCCACCATGTTCATCCACGTGCCCAATGCGCGCCGCTGGCTCCACCTTGCAGGCGTCAAAGGACACAAGCGCCGGTTCGCCGCGCTCCTTCGCGACGTGCTGCAGGTGGCGTGGCCCGACCCAGACATCCCGTGCAGCGCCGCGTGCATGTGTGAGGTGCTGTGCACGGAGCCCGATGCGTCTCTTGAGACTGCCAGTCCAGCCATGGACGCCGTGTCCATGGTTCTGGTGGCCATGACGAAGGTTGTCATCGCTGTCGATCACCCGGACCTGCTCCCCGCCCTCAGCAACTGCCTGCTCAACATGATGCGCACGCAGCAGGCCGGCAAGCGCAGTTTCGAGCACCACGACATCTACACGCTGCAGACGACCGTGTCGGACATTTGCGACATCAAGAACGCGACGGGCCTGGGCGGTGCCTATGCCACCGCTCTTGGACACATTGTCAACACCATGGCTGTGCTGGCCGACTACAACCAAGACGGCCAGCTCTGCGTGTATGTGCAGTGCAACACCGCAGGCAAGCTTGCGGACGTATGCGGCCTTGTTCAGCATGGCGTGCCTGTCACGGAGAGCACACGCACCTCTGCTGAAATGCTGCGTGAGAAGATTCATGACTACATGAGCAAGCAGGCCGACGAGTGAGGCGCGCGCGCATGTGTGTGTGTGTGTGTGTGTGTGTGCGTGTGTGTGCGTGTGTGTGCGCGTGCGTGTGTGCGTGTGTGTGCGTGCGTGTGTGTTGTGTGTGCGTATGCGAATGTATGTGTGCGTGTGTGCGTGT